TAGGAAGTTTGTTCCAATGAAAACTTTTCATGACAAACTGATCACAGTGCTTGAAAATATAAAAGTTATTAAATTTTCTTCTTCTTGTGGATTTTTGAGCCACGAACTCACCTGTTTCTTGACCATTGCGAATGTTTGCTGGTGCCGCCATACCAAAACAAAAATATGTCCGATCCCGATCCCGATCTAATTTACATCTCATTGCTACGGAAGCGCATAGGGGTTACAACAGTTTCTTTTCATAATTTTTTTTAAATTAGTAATTTATTACATTTTTGTTTAATTTTTTACATATAACACAATTTGTTTTTAAGAAATTACTAATTTTTGATGTATTTGAAAAAAAGTTACATTTGTTGAAATCATAGGACCATATTTTGTACCTCATTAATGAATGGTTGGATATTTTTCATCATGGTGGCAATTTGAAGATGTTATTTAAAAAATGTAAATAGTAATTTGAATTCCAAACAAATCTCTTAGTGAAAATATACATATGTAATCTCTCGGTGCAGCATGCGCAGTTCGTGTTTGGTCGTTAATTTTATAATTATATCAATTTGAAAGTACTTTTAGCGAATATATAAATTGTTTGCCCTCTTAAGTCCCAGTATTTCATCAATGCAACCACCCTTTTGAAAAAGATTGTGTGAAAAATCCTATAGTTTATAGTATATTGATGGATTTGACATGGTGAAGACCACTAATGTTTTTGAGGCATACTCATGCAAAGACTCATTTCTGCTGACAAGATAAAACTATTATTGTATTTGTTTTAAAGGAAAATATTCATATTTTTTGCTATTTGCCAGTACAAAATTACTGTACACTGGCAAAAAAAACTTTCCTCTTGATCTCCACTCACTGTTTTCTAGTAGGCATAATCATTGTTGATCAATGGTAGATTCTGCAAGAAAAATAATATTTATTGTCAAAACAATTTCATTTTACCTAATTGGTAATGCAGATATAGTTAAGGACGAAGGGGGAAAATGAACAAAATTCTGAAGATTAGATGCTCGAGAGCACCATAAGTAATTAAATAACTAACTTTAAGGCACAACACGCTTCACTGTCGAAGATGGTAGGTTGTGGTTTTGGATAAAAATAGCTTTGGCTCTAAAACAAAGATGGATATAGCGTATTATAAAAAAATAAATAAATTTTACAAATTGCACTGATCGAGTCTATATTTAAAGGTGTTAACTTGCTGAAAATCCCGTATTACGATTACACTTTTAATAGATTCTTATGATGTGAAATTGCACTACATATAATATGAACAGCTAACTTGATGCTATAATTATGACAGTAAATTATGTACATGTATATAAATATGAGGAAAAAATGACTGATGTTTATGTTAATATCTTTTACTTGTATATGTAGGAGTGACACAAGTGCGGACACATGCACTGGAAAATGGAATCTCTGATCAACCCTTGACAATCTGTCTCAAATGCGCGCGGCCTCGGTTTCACCAGCACCAAGGGTAGCACAATCGGCAATCCTCGACTGACTCCGCTACGCGCGAGATACGAGCCATCCGAGTGAGGGTAGCGACCACCTGATCAACAAAGTGGACCGACTCCTGTGTGTTAAGATAATCTTGCTGGAGAAGTAGATTTTAATACCTTTTTTTTGTTAACTTAATTTCTCCTCTTTTGAAGGATCCGGGACTCTGCTGTCTTTCCAAAAAAATTATTTAAAAATAAACTTTGTTGTTCAACAAAGTTTGTTTTTTTAAATAAATTTTGTGGAAAGACTTTGCATTCCAGCAAATGCAAGACAGAGGACTCAAAATAAAAAAAATCAAATTTGTCATATTTCTGTCCCCTTAATACAAGAGGTTGTTGAAAATATGGCATATCATCCTTTGATAGATTATGCGCATATCAAAGCGAACGTCTATAAATGGAATTTGATGAAGTATGGAACATCAAAAACCTAGGTAGAATTGAAATATATAGAGGTTATTCAAAAGTAATGTCACATGCAGGCGTTGTACATTATAGGAAGTTATTCTTTATTCAAATGCAAATATTTTGCAACCTGTATTTTGATTGGCTAATTAATGTACCAGTCTAATGAACCAGAATAAAAAAGAATAGAATTTGTTTTTGATTGTGAAGAACGACCCAAATCACAACCTTTAACGATAAATATCTAATAACGAATCTTTAATGAAATAAAGGCTTATGTATAAACTTTATATGACGGGGATACATGTATCTATTTATTTTTTTCATTTGTTATTTGCAACCACCAATGCTGATTTAGATCTCGAAACAGCCCATCATGACAAGGTGCAAACAATGGATTATTTGAGTTATTATTTGACCTATTTTGGTTGTAAATTTTGCGAATAAAACATTTTCAAAAATTAAAGAAATGTAAACTTCCTGAATGTGATCTTCAAACAATTACTTTTCTGCAACCATCCTAATTAATATAACAATTTTCGTGACTTAAATTCCATTATTGTGAAACTTTTAATGAAAAATGAAAATCTATGAGGCTAAAATTTGTTGTTTTCAACATTTTTGCCCCGAAAATTGTTTGCATCATCTTTCATTTATTTTCAAAATTTAAATTCATCTCTTCAATACTTTAAAAAATGAAGATCAAGCTTTTTCGTAAAAATTCCAAATTTATTTGATTTTAGCATGTAAAAAAGACTATAAAATTCAATGACATGAAAAACATCCTACATGTAGCTCCTAAAATTTGATTACAAGATCGATGTATATCTGTTATATTTTAATTCAACACCTAGAAAAAGACAAATTACAATAAAAATTTTTTATTGATTTATGATTCATGACAACACTGGGTTAAAAATTGTCATTTGCGTGAAAAATAAAATTTCAGTTTATATACATGTATAAAAAAAGTTTATATGAAAAACTGATTTTTTTACTGCATGTCACTTAAAAGTAATTTAAGAAATAAATACTATATAATACCGCTGTGTGATATTATAAATAATATATTGATTACCATCTTATTATACACAAAGAAAAATCCTTCAAAATAATGATAATAATCATGAAGGACAGATGACACAAACAAACTTTTGTCATATAAATTGAAAATGACAACCCGAATTATGTTTTAATTAGTAAAATGAACAAGTTTAACAGCGTATAGTTTTAGTATTTTATTCAAAGTTTCTCAAAAATGGGTTTGGAAGTGAAAACATTTGCATAGATTAAGAATGATTGCTACAGAAAGGTTGAAATTTGAACATCAAAAAAGGCTTAATTTTTTTCATATTTTGGAAATTTATTATAGTTGCATGAAAGATAAGGCGATAACAAACAGTATGCAAGCTCGATATAACAATACAAAATACGAGCGGAGCAAACACGTACCTACAAAACATCAGATGTGGGATCAGGTGCCATGGAGGATTGAGCACTCCCTGCCGATCTGTCACATGCACCCGCCGTGTGCTCCTTGGCATGATCGGGAAATAGCGAGAGAAAAAAATTCGTCGTCAATTCAGTGTGAAAATAATGGTTTTAAATAACAATTTAGTATGAAAAACGTCGGTCAGCATTTAATTGACTCAATTCGTAGTTGATAAATTGCATTTTCAACAAAAATAGACCTAGAAATATATACCAATCTAGGCATCCATTTTTGTATCATATGTCCTTAAGTCAAATGCTGACTGCCTTTTTTTTAAAAACTAATTGTTAAAACTTTATTTACACACTGAACTTCCGATGGATTTTTCCGGTGTTTTCCGTATAAATTATGACAAGGAACACACAATGACTGTGACAGGTCGGCAGGGGATGTTTACTCCTTCATGGCATCTGACCCAACCTCTGATGATTTAGATGTCTGTGTTTGCTTTGCTCCTTATTTGTATTGTTGGAATGTACTTTTGAACTTGAATACTTTCCATTATATCCATATACTAGTATTACATTTATAATATCTTACGTACCTAAAATTAAATTTCCTTGAAAAGCCTTAACGTTTGCATTTTTTATTGACCTATATGTACCGTTTGTTGTTTGTCTGTCAGGCGACACGAAACTCAAAAAAATATATAATAAAAAAATTGCATGCAACATTTAAATTTAAGTTTTCTTCTATTAAATTATTGCGCTAATCAAATAAATTAATGTGCTCAACAAAAGCAAGAATGCTATCAGAGTTATCTCCATTATTTAAATAATATTTTTCTTTTTATTTTTTCTCTATGTTATTGAATTTATGTGCTTATGTATCACTAATTAAATAGATGTTAATGATTATAAATCATTCTTTCCCAAATTATATTTTTAAAATATTAAGATGCCCTATACCTTGATGACTGGTTTTTGCCATTGCCTTTCTTTTAGCTTTTGAAATGAGCCTATAGACAATTAAACAAAGACATTAATTTTTTAAGTTCTTAATTTAGAACTTTTCCGATATATGACATATTAAGCAAATTCTAAGCAAGCAGTTAAGCAACCAATTTTAAAATTTTGGCTCGACAAGCTTATGAGTTATAAATATTAAAAGAAAATACCTTTTTTCCATTTTATCAATTGGCTTATCTTTAACAAAAATTTAATCGCATTTATTTAGCCAGAAACTATGCAGCGATCTGTACCAGCATTTAAAAAATTACTCATCCTTTTTAAAATTTCAAATTCATTATACATAATTAATTTTTTACGATCGATTTATGACCGTTTTACCATGTGCATATTTGTCAGCGACGAAGTCCATGTCGACGATTACGTTTCCGAGGGACAAAATTTACTTTAATAACCAACTCTCAATGACATATCAATCTTTTAGTTAATCATCCTCTAAGTTGGCGCTCTTTCCTAACCCTGCTAGATAATAAATAGTTTTCCGCCGTCTCTAAATCCCCCGTTATTAAATCACCTTAAGTTCCACAGATAACGATTTGTTAAACTGTCACAACAAAAATGCGCCCGCTGAAAATGAACGTCAATCTGCTTCACCAAGGTGTTTTGAATATTCCACCTGTATAAATCTTGTGTCGTCTGACAACTGAACAGCAGACGAGAGGCGCATTAAAGAATGTAAACAACTGTGTGTATTAAAACTGCACCATGAAGGCATGTGAGGAACTTATTGTAATATTAGGTATGTAAAATAGTTATAAATCTCCCCTTTGATGAATAGTTTCTAAACATAATCTTTTTTTATATGCTTAATGCTACGGTGTTTAAGTGAAAGGGAAGCGTATTCTATGCATCAGTTTTAAACTTTATGTATATAAGACTTCTGTAAGTTTATGTGTTTACCTTTCACCTAGTTTCAAATAATGAATAATTAATTGATGGCAAAATTTTAAGCCGGAAAAATAATTAATTCATGATCGATGTTGATTTCACGCACATTTTATGTTTAAATCCCTGAAGTAAAATTTGCATGTAGTTGTCAGACCATATTTATGCTTTTAAACTAAATTGGTGAACAATCATTTACAGCTTAAGATTTTTTTTAATTTCATCTTTGGATCTATGATGTTATGGAATAAAATATTACCAACTACACATTTTTCACTATCTAAACAGATATTTGTATGTTAACAATTGTTTTAGAGGTCTTCAACATGTAAGAAAAGACATAAGAACTTTTTCTTCCAGGTTTCTTGTTTAAAAAAACCAGAGATCGAGAAACCCCTGTATACTCTGAGATATAGATCATGATAAGTTCATCAACTTGCATTAAAATCAATCTAGGCGATTCGTCCTATTATAATTACCAAAATGAAGCTCCAGACAAAATGTAGATGAATGTAAATGAACAATGATTTTGCTCATACATTGAAAGTTCGTTTCAACTGAATAAAGTGTGCGTCAGGTGCCAACATGGAACACTGAAAACATAGCCCTGGATCATTTTTTTTTTTTTTTTTGCGAGTAAGTATCTCACGATTTTGTGGATGCTCATTCCTCTATGGCACCTAACCCCAATTTTTTTTGCGAGTAAGTATCTCACGATTTTGTGGATGCTCATTCCTCTATGGCACCTAACCCCAATTCTGAAGCTTTAAGCTATAGGGATCCGTGTTGGCTTTTCTGCCGATTTGTATTGTTGAAATGGACTTAAGAGCTGGGATACTGATCTTATTCTCCATATTTCTTGTTTTCATTCAAAGATTAGACAGCAGGATTATCATTAAATCACTTGTTCATCATGTTACTGATAACAAAATAATTACTCATCTGTTTTGCAGAGATTCATCGTTATTCTATTTTACACGCCCAAGCCTAATTTAATTAAGTTTACTGTGTTGCTAGGGGGATATAAACCGTTTCATTTAATCGTTTAGTAAAAACAAAACCTTCTGAAAAGGAAAGAATTCTTATAATCTGCCTATTAGGAGGTTTCTAATACCAGCAGCCTTTTCTTTGATTTCGGTCCCAGTCCAATTAGAAGACTCTGTGAAGACCTATGTGACTGTGTTTTGCCAATTCTGTAACGAAAATATTTATAAATTAAAAAGAAAACCAATGAATCTGAAAATCAAGGAAAACTACGTTAGACTAGAGAACAAAGGCATGGTTTATAACGGCAAAAAAATCAAGTCTAAGAAATGAATTTTTGAAATTATTTTAGAAGAAAAAGTTTTAAATATTTAGCAAATTTAGATCGACTTTTTCATTTTAAAGAAAATAAATTTTCTTTTCTTTTAATTGTTTAATTACAATTAAAATCATAGGTTTATATTCTTATCGGAGTAATATTATTCATTTTCTATATGAAAATGATTACTTTATTAATGATATTATTACAGATGTCGACTGCACTTGGCATTAATGTGTGCATTCTTTCTGTTTTACAAATTAGGAGTAGAGTTTAACAGCCCCCTGGAGGAATGTAGGGTATTTTGACCTGTACAGATCACCCTCCCAGCAGAAAAATGTCTCTGTGTTTGTCATTATACTTTACTTTGTGCACATTTTATTTGCGTGTCATTAAAATACTGCAGTTTTTGATCCTCAATAAATGGTGACAATAAAACTGTTACATGTGTTCATTAGTCATGGTTGTAATAATTTTTCTGTAGAATTTTCTTTATATATTTCAAGATTTTTTTAAATGTTGGATTTGATTTTTTACCTGTGCATCGGTTTTAAATTGTTTCAAATTAATTTAATCTAAACCTGTAAGACACAATCTTATTCGATATGATAAGGCAAATTTCTTGTCAGGTTTTTGAGAGATTAAAATTTTGAAGTATATTTGCATTAATGTCTTATATATATATATCTGAAAAGTAAGGATTTTCCGTATTTTCCTTTTCTTATCAAAACTCTACACATGAAACCTTTTTTAGGATTGTCATACAAATTAGAATATCAGTTTTTATTTTTATGTTTGGCAGAGAAATTAAAATATCAGTTTTTATTTCTTGCATTATTCTTAATTTGTTGGGTTTCGCAATTCTTTTGTTATAAAACTGCTTGCAAAAAACGTCGTACGAAAATTAGACAACCAGATATTATCGTCATTTTCTTTAACAGAATTACGTGTTTAGAGAGTGAAATAACTGAGAACTTTCATACATTAATTACATACAAATAAAGGGACGTGCATATCCGTCGACTGTACAATACTTCGACTCTGTATATTTATTTTTGACTACTTGCTTTATCGCTGAAAGGAGGACAGTCAATTTTTATTTAAACAGAAAAAATGACGTGATGAATGTGCTTGTTAGAATTCTATAGATATGAGATAAATTAATTTTAGAAGATAAATCTTTCATAAATAAATTTAACTGTGTGGTGTGACCGGTCGGCAGGGGTGCTCACTCCTCCATGGTGACTGATCCCAATCTGATGTTTTGGAGGTCCTTGTTTGCTCTCCTCCTATATTGTATGGTTTTATGTACTTTTGATCCTGAATACTGTTCGATATCTCCGTATGTTTCATTTTTTAACACAAAACCCCTCTTAAAAAGGAAAAAATTAAAATAGCTTTGTAAAATTTGTATACAAATATAATTGCTTGAATTTCATTTGTGGACAAATTCAGGCCTTGCTCTTAGAATCTCTGGATTGTCGGACTTGGTATTTGCCAAGGAGTACTCCAGCAAGGCCGGAAATCTGAAAAAGAGACCGGAACTAAGGTTGGATGAAGCATGGCTGACCATCAATTCTACAGTCAACTTCAACATTCTACTTTTCTCCTTGAATGATCAATGTTGGAAGGTAAGGCCAAATACGGTTATATTATCATAATGGTTAAATAATTCTTCATAACTTATTCTCTCTATATTAAAATTATAAATGCTATATTGAAACCAAGGAAAAACATTTCACTATTTTTGTTACTGTTTCAAATCGTTGTGATGTTAAAAGCATAGCAAATAATGTGATCTTGATTAACTTACACTTATAAATTATTTGTACAGTGTATTTTCATTAATTTTAGTGTAATCCAGTGTTTGTGGACACGATACCTATGCACAGCATCTACACACTTAAAGTAAACACTACATATGGCACAACAATTTATCTCAAAGAAAATGACCTAACAGGGAAAGCGGATGAAACGTTCTGCACGTAAGTTATGTGACAACAGTGTAAAGAAAATGTTTGATTTAATTTTCTTGTGCTTGTGCTTGATTACAGGCTCTTTTCTAAATAAATGCTTAGCTTTCATCGTAATTTGTTAACTCATATATATATAAAACGTTGCCTTGATGCAATTGATATCTGAAAAGAAATCTGATTTAAAATTTAGCTTACCATGCTGAGTAAATAGAGCAAAAGTCAACTTCTACCTAAAAATGGACAATTTTATAAAGAAAACGTACTACAGTCATTTCAGCCAGCGCTATGGTATCTGTCTTATCATAAAGTAAATTAATCTTATTTTAATCATTTTGGCTATCTATATCATCTGCAAAAAATAAAGAGCCATCTCAGGTCATAAAGTTAATTTTGAGCAGAATACAGACCTTTGAAGAACAAAAAGAAATGGAATCAGTTGCCATGGAGGAATAAGCATCCCCCGTCAACATTTTACACTCGCCGTTTTCCCTTTGTCATGATTGGGTAAACGTGAAAACAAAATCCTTCTATTTAAGGAATGAATTTAATAGCTACCCATTTTATACGGTATAAACTGGGTTGGGGCAATTTACGCTTTATAAACCGCGAAGCGGTTTATAAAAAAGCGTAAACTGTTCCAACCCAGTTTATACCGTATAAAATGGGTAGCTATTAAATTCATTCCTTATAATTTAATTTTCATTCATTTGATGTAAGAAAAAAAGATGATTGTTCTAACAAAATGACTTCAACTTGTACAAAATTTGAATGTAACGTCAGGCGGATTGATACATTTTTGACGTAAGTCATTGTGACGTAGGCAACCCATTTTATACGATATGAAGTAAATTTTTTATCCAATCAAATACAGCGTTACAACCAGAATTAAATTATAATGCAATGTGAAAAATAATGGTTTGATAAATTTATATTAAAGGCGTCAGCAGAATTCTAATAATTAATGACAACTTACATTGTTGTTTAGACTGTCGAGTTTCCTAGAACTGCATCATCCGGAATAATTATGTTGTCGAATATTAATCTTGTACGATAATTTTTAACTCATGCAGCTGTTAATATCTTCACTCAGAGAAAAGAAGCTACTTAAGAAACTTCATTACATGGATTTTTATGAAGGTTTTGAATGAAAGATATATACGAATATATACAGTCAAATTCATTCCGGTTGTAGGGAATATAAAAACATGACATGATTTTTATAAAAATCCCTCTTAGAAAGGGAACTATGAGAGTATGTTGGCTTACCGCTTGTTAAATGAAATCAAGTTAATTCAAGTTATTTTCAGTTACGATTAAATTATATCTAATTTTAATAAATAATTGGCTTTTAGATTTCACAAGAAATTTACAGAGACAGGAGATTATTGGATTTTCGTTACAAACCAAGAATTCCTCAATCATGACTGCAGCCTTCTCCAGATTAACGACCCTCTTCCGGCGGAAATGCGTAAGTCGAAATAATAACCACTCCCATTTTTCTTGGAAGATGTCACTATGAATGTCGGTTTTATCCGATGCTTCTAAAGAATTTTACTTCATCTAAATGTGGCTCCATTCTATTATGTGAAGTCGATGGTGCTCAGTTTGACAAAATACAACACAACATGATGTTTATTTACATGTACATGTAAAAAGAAAGACGATCATTTAACATATAAATAACAAATTATACCAAAAGATATAAAGCAGTTAAAATATGTCTCATTTAAAAAAATGTAAGGCAAGGAACAAAAATACAACGAACTACAAACACTACACCATAATTCTCGAGAAGATATTGTGACTAGCTAAAATTAAAATTCCTAATAATACCACAATCCTAAAACAAGCAAAGTAAAGAGTATCATGACAATATAAGAGCGGAAGATAATCTCGCGAATTGCATATAAAAGGTTCAAAAAGTGTCTTCCGTCACAAACCAAAGCTGTGATTTGCAAGAATATTGTTGCCCTTTTTCTGCACAAAACACTGATGATTTAATCAAAATTCTTTCAAATATTTGGTCAATTTTAAAATCATATACAGTCGTATGTTCAGTAAAACTAGAAAGAACACTGTCTTTTTCTATTCATTTTATATAATGTTCTCCATCCCATTTTTTTTTAAATTTTTATTCTATAATCTACATACAAAATATATAGAGGTAATGCCTCCTCAGAGGCCCTCACAAACATATAATCACACTGGTCTTTGATCTCAGGTTGTGTTTTTTTTTTTACAAAGCATTAATCTAATCAGATCTTGTTTGTTTCATTGCTTTTCCACAGCGATATTGTATGTATTTGGGGGACTTCTGGTGCTGTGGATCATCGGAGACATGATAGTTAGATTAGACAGGTAATTATGTAGTAATTGGCATTTAACTTGATTTTTGTCCTTTGATATTGATAAAATAATGTTTCAAGATCTCAATTTGGGTTTTCTTTGTCTCAGTTCAAACAAATTAATACAGAAATGATTTGAATACAGTTTTCGAAATCCGAAAAGATAAAAATGTAAAGATCTGATCCTTTAAATTTAATATGACGATGGGTTAAGAGTTTGCTAACATGATAATTTCATGCAAAATAATCTTCATTTTTTAGCAATTTTTAAAGACCTGAGTAAACCGTTTGTTTACATCATATTACCGTATGGTTAGACAGGTTCTACTTAAATAAATGCATGTATGGACAAAACAGAGCTACACATGAATTTTTTTTTCTTTTTTCTCTTATGCATGTACTCACATTCGTAGCTTTAACAAGCATGATGAAAATCCTCCTGCTGTATTGAAATTCTTGCATGTGCATATTCTTTTCATTTCTTTGCAGAAAGTACAATAAATCACAGTCCATAAATATAACGGATCCGGAGAATGCGCCACGAAATTTACGAATGAAGGTAAAGTATATTATGCACATTTGTGTATTTCATTATGAACTAAACTGCGTTTATTCACTAAAATGTTGTCGTTCTCTGATTACAGCATGTAATGAAAAAAAAAAGAAAATGACTTTCTTGAAAAGAATATATTTATTAGAGAGGAAAATATACCACAAGGAGAAGGATATGGAGATAACGAACAGTATTCAATCTCGAAGTCCATAAAACAATACAAAAAAGGAGCAGAGCAAATACGGACCTCCGAAACATCAGAGGTGGGATCAGGTACCATGGAGGAGTGAGCATCCCCTGCTGACCGGTCACACCCGCCGTGTGCCCCTTGTCATGATCAGGAATTAACGGAAAAATCTGTCGTCAATTCAGTGTATAAATAATGCACTAACAATTGGTATGAAAAACGTCAGTCAGCATTTGACTCAATGATAAATTGTATTTGCAGACAAGTTCATTGTATCGACCATAGAACTTACGAAATGATGACTTTGAACGAGACTGTTGATATTCTTGTTTCATCACCTTGCTTGTCAATAATTTACCTCGTTTTAGAAATTGTTCCTACGTAGAGCATGCTCTTGCGTATCGAATCAACTGAGATATATACACTCCGTATGCGAGTTATGAAGGTATATTGCTGCATAAGTAAGGGGAGTTGACGACAGAGAAGTTAAAGTCATCACGTTTATCATATAGCTGGGTTAAAGTCTTTTTCAAGTAAAATATCCAAGTATGAAACAAATGTGTCAGACTCTGTCGTGTTTTTAATCTCAAGCTCTCCTGGATATATCGTAAATAATACATAAATAATAAATGATACAAAATGTTTCTTAATCTGTATTTATAATACCATCTAAGTAATCATCTTATTGAAGTGTAATTTGATCTTTTCTAGTCTCTCCGACAAACTGCCAACGGATTTTCAGACATGAACGGACAAAACGGTTTACCGAATGACCAAAACGACGCTCACCAGCGGTACTCCACACACAATAAAAGAGAAAGACTGAAATCACTGGATACTTTCAGAGGGTTGTACTTTATAAATAAATGTATCTGAATGTTTACCATGGTCTTCTACACACTGTGATGTGTAGGGCAGCTAATGTGTCTGAATACTGTGATAATAATTGAGTTTAGATTTTCCTATATTATTTGTGTGTTTGAAAAAACAAAACAATGTGCTGTCACCAATTAAGAATTTCCTTTATAGATTCATCACAAGTTTCGAATAATACACTTTTTGGTGTAAGGGATATTCTTTTGCAAGTATGTGTCTTTGTACATTGCACAGTGTACTATTCATGCCAATTTTAACATTAAGATTCTTCTCAATATTAATAAATATAAAAAGTACGAATAAGAAATAAAATTGAGTTTTAAAGACGACGGACACCTCTTGATGTATCAATTTTGCTCAAAACCAAAGAGCATTGTCCTATACGCCTCCACCGAAAATTTATTTCTTTAGTTTTTTCTGAAAATTCTTATATGAATTATGGGGAATCGAATTCCGGTGATATATGTTCTTTCTTTTTTTAGATTGAGTCTGATGATTATGATATTTGTCAACTATGGAGGTGGGGGATACTGGTTTTTTGACCACCCTCCGTGGAATGGATTGACAGTTGCAGATCTAGTGTTTCCATGGTAACATTGCGCGTTTATTTTTCTTTATTTTTTTATTTTGATATCTCTTATAAATCAGACCATTTCTCGAACAATCCTTCGTCAACGCCTCATTTTTGTTGATGTTGAAAGAAATTGTGAGCACAAAAAAACATTATAATTGCATTTGAAGAAAAATCAGTTTTGATACGGAATGTTTCATTATTTTAGATTAAGATTTCTGTATTTTTTATGCTTTAACAGGTTTGTTTTCATTATGGGAACAGCAATGAATTATTCCTTTCGCGGTATGAAGAAGAGAGGCGTCCCTAGATATAGAATGCTATACAAGGTTCTCAGGAGGGCAATTCTTCTATTCTTTATTGGGATTGTTCTGAACACAAATTGGGGACGTAAGTATATATAAATTTCACACGTCCTGAAATTACATATGTACATGAAATCCCCTAAATATATTTGACATACAGTACATGTTACTATATAAGAATTATGAATGTAATGCGTACTCCATATTCTGTAGCTGACATATGTTTATGCCCCAATGACTCTTGTTAAGTTCGAAATCTGAGAGTTCATTGTTGTTTTTTACTTACATTATATAAGTTCAAACTAATTCAAAGACTTTTTTGTATCCTCAAAGAAATAAAAAATTAAGTTGCTCAACACTGGCTATAGATAAAACAAAGTGTTTCTATGGATTTTCATTCTTGCTTTGGAAATGTACATGTATTACCTAAAATCAGTCCCGTTTATGTTCAGCTTTGTGTGGTTATAATCCAAATAAGGAATGGTCTGATTTTTGCTTTTGTCTGCTTTTTTGGGGCGAGACTGAATTTGCAAATTTACTGTTTACTCAGGAATGTCGACTTTGCATATGGAGCAAGCTGTGTAAGTTTCCCATCATTTTACCCTGGTATGCTGTTTTTTTTTATTTCAGCCGTGGACTTGAAGAATATCCGTATTCCCGGTGTACTACAGAGGTTTAGTCTCACGTACCTTGTTCTGGGGCTCATTGAGATCTGCTTCTGTCGGTACGATACGCCAGATAAATACCAGGTATGATCACATCACGTGTTATCTTTCTTGTTCTGTTGCTTAATTCGGTATAAATATTTGGTATGATCACATCACAAATTATCTTGTTGATTTAGACTTGCTTCTGTGGGTATTCGATAGATAAATACATGTACCAGGTATGATAACATCACGAGTTATCTTTCTTGTTCTGTTGCTGATCGATTTAGATTTGCTTCTGTAAGTATACGCTATTCCTAGTAAATACTATACATGTATAAGTACCAGATATGATTTAGAAAACAAGTTCCCATTCTTTTTTCTGGGGCTGATAAGATCTATCAGTACCACTCCCTAAAAAAATCCAAACATGATCAGATTACAAGTTATTGTGATCAAATAGGAATATTTACGTCACTTACAAAATTACCATAATAATTTTTAAAAAAAATGATTTTTGAAACCATTCTTATTTATAAAGCATAATGATTTCAATTAAAACCTAATAATTACATACGGTTTGTGAAGGCCTTCAAATTTTGCCCTATATTCGGCACTCAGAGCCAATGAGCAGTGAGGGTTCTTTATCGTGCCACCGCCTAACGTGACATTGGACCCATTTCCGAAAGACCCGTGACATTCACTTCTAGTGCCGATCGCTTGGCGAAGGAACAGTCACTACCTATGTTACTTCTTACATGTAGGTTTAATGCGGCGCCGCGAACGAGAATCGAACCCTGGCCTCCCGATCACGAAGCAAACGCTCTACCACTAGGCTACCGTGACCGGTTCTAAAGGCATATATAAGATAACAATTAAATTGTTCCTTCGCCAAGCGCTCGGCATTTTTAAGTGAAAGTGTTAGCGCTCAAAAATTATGGGCAAGGTTAAATATTTTGTAAACCAAAAGACACACACGATCAAAAGATGAGACTAACTATAATATTTTCCCCTTTTTTAGCCCCCTTCCCCATTTTGAAGAAATAAAGTAACCAATTGCAAGCTTAAGGACAAAAAGTACATTTCAAACCCATGCTACGCTTACTCCATATTACTCTATAAAAACTTAAACGGATTCGATTCCCGAGTTTCACGTTTTTAAATGAGTTTTCCGCTAAGAGTATCAGATGTGAATAATTTTCTGATAAAAAAAAAATCTCCAAAATTTTAAATTAAAATAAGGACAGGAAAATCAATTTAAAAAAAATGAAATATATTTTTCCCCAAATCTCCTGCATATTTTTTTCATTATTTCATTTCATTCATGATTGACGTAGTTGAAGTTTTTAATCTGAAATATAAATTAGTAGTCAGAAGAACAGTTGAATACACAAAATCCAACATTTATTAATTGATTTCTTTCTTTTCTTGTATTTTGTTATGTTCGAGTAATATTCCCTTACGAAAGATAATATGCTATCTCACAACGCGAAATGCAATAACAACTTGAAATGTTATAACAACGCAAAATGTACTAAACTCAGATTTCTACATTTTGCGCCAACCTTGACACGTAATTCCGCAAAATGGGGAAAACACCTAAAAGACCGTTTTACATTTTTGCTTTACTAATTTCTGTATTGGTCTCAACGCAAATTGTAATACAAAATGTACAGATCCCGGTTTGTTACATTTTGCGTTGTTCTTACATTTCACATTGTATTATCATTATAATTATATCTGACTTAAATGTACTACTAATTTTAGAATTATTTTCTAATTGTTACAGGACCTTTATACTAATTAATTATTCTTCTTTGATTGTTACAGGACAGATGTTGGTCCCCTCTGAGAGACATTCTACTGTTCCTCCCACAGTGGTTTCTGTCTCTTGGGATCCTAGCAGCATATGTATGTTTGACCCTGCTTCTTCCCATAGGCGATTGTCCGACGTAAGTCTGGAGAATCTTTAAAACAGAAAACCAAGAAAAAAAGCATGACCCTTTTCTTATGAAGTGGGTATTTTTCTGATCTTAAGCATGATCTAAAGCATGGTATTCATACTGGTTATTCTTTATACGTTTAACGTCAAATTTGTTCCATGTTGATGTTGGATTTTTTACTTACAATTGACGATAATTGCATCATAATAACTAGGTACTTGATATAATAAATATTAATGAGACAACCAGCTTTTCCATTGTCAACTTTTCTAAAAATGTTCTAAAATAGCAATATTCCACCTGCATATGATGCTTCTGTCTCAAAGCTGATTTTATAAACAAGATGTGTTTGCTTCGCAACAAAGTAAAAAAAAAATTAGCATATAGGTCATAGTACTATCAGTACATTAGTAAACATACCAAATATGAAGTCTACATCTCTCATGGTTCAAAAGTTATGGTAAAGGATCTATTTGTAGCATATAAACCCAAGGTCATTGACCTAGGGGGATATAATATACATACCAAGTGTAAAAAGTTGTGTCCAAAACAAATATCACAAATTCATATCTATAAATTATAGAGAATTTATAACACAATTTTAAGACAAATGTGTTCATCGTTAAGAAAATGTCTTTCTTTCACTGACCGACAGATACAAAATGGTCAGACCCCAACCTTCGAACACGAATATATATACAGTAAGTTCAATGAAAAGTTTCATAATATATATAGTTGAATTTGAGATCAGTGTAACATTTCGGTGCCTTAATGGCATGAATAATAATTATAGACACAGGTTATCATTTATCAAATGTGTTTTATATAACACATTTGATACGATCTCTTTTTGTTTCTTTTGAGATTAATAAAAGTCCTATATTGAAAGTGAGCACGGCTCTACAGGGGGATTGTTTATTACATCTTTACTGAAAAAGCATGATATAACGATCTTATAGAACTCAGGAACCAACAGGAAACACCTATTACTTGCAGCCAAAACGTTTGCCCCAATTTAACAAAACCTGAAAATGTTTCGGCAAAAGTATAATTAGGGTCGGGTAAATGGGGGACTATCTATTACATCTTTAAAACTCGGGGTAATATTCTATTGACGTCTCGAACCAACAACAAACACCCATTACTTGCAGCCATAGGCTCGCACCACTTCAACAAAACCTAAAAATGTTCTGGGAAAAATAAAATAAGTTTTTAGGATGTTAAGGTCTTTAAGAAATGTTACAATTTTATAAATGTTCAACCCGAAAATAAAGTTTTGTGTCCGTTTTATTATTTTTACAGGGGGTACATTGGACCAGGCGGGCTACACGATGGAGGACAATTTTATAATTGCACGGCCGGAGCGGCCGCTTACATTGATATCATGGTGCTGGGTAAAAACCACATATACGGAAAACCGACACCTCATGTAAGTTCAATTATTTTTATCGTGCAGTTTTATTTTTATTTACATGATATGTATGCATATTAAACAGACGTTCGAAAAAAGAAATTAGTACTGATAATAATATTTTTTTGATAAATGTTTAAAGAATAAACTTTGTATTACGGGTCTCATTTACAATCTAACAAACATTATATTATATTAATGGTTCTATAACAAAGTGGAACTTGCTGAAGATAGGTCAAAATGGTATAGTCATGTGGACGTCATGTAACATTCAGGTGAAAAGAACTCTGTACCTGACAAAATGCTTACTAAGACATTACGAAACAGTTTCCTTTTGAATTAACACATCATTTCATAGGTATTATTGTGAACTATTCAATTCTATCTGTATAGTTTTATCAAATTACTTACAAAATATTTGCAGGTGTTGGATAGCTGAGTTTTTATGGATAAAATACAAGTAAATAATGATAAAGAAAATATAGTGCAGTTACGAAACATGATATTCAAATTCTTCATATTCGATTACTTCTTGCATATGTGTATAAGATTTTGATACTCTATTTGTATACCATATTCAATTTACTCTGAAATATGCAATGATCATAAAGGCTAAAATATTGAAAATACTGTAAAATAAAAAGATTTGTAGAAATGATACAATGTATTAGATGTTTGTATATATTTTTTTTTTATCCCAATGGCATATATTGATAAAAAAAAATATACCTTTTGTTTATTATGTCGATGCATTCAACAAGAATTGATTCAAGGAAGGTTTTATTTCCCCATTTATTATTGAGTAAATCTTATTTATAACAATGAACATATTTGTTGTCTTTGATTTTTTCAGCAAATTATTAAATCTTTAATGAAATATTTTAACTAAATTTTTTGGTATAACTTTACTCATGACAAAAATTCATTGATAAGAAGCCACCTACTGCACATTATACACCTATGATTCTTGTGTTAAATTTCAATTTAAAATTAACTAGGTCAATGACCTCATTTTCATGTAAACCCCTAGATTTCTGAAATTAAATTTTTCACACTATGACATTTTTTCTTCACTCACAAAATATTACAAGCAACAAAACTCTTTAAATAATGAAATATTATAGCAATGGAACAGAGTTCCTCCATATAAAGAAATGTATGGTGGCATATTTCTGCCCCTTGTGTGCAAGTTATTTTTCTATCAAATATGTCGAGGTGGATTATACAATGATTAAAAATTATATAATGCAAGAAAATTGCAATCAAAAAGTATTTTAAGAAAATCTTCAAAAATCTCAAATATCGCCAACAAAAATGCTAAATGCTACTTATTTATGTTAACATGCAAGAATTTCAACAAATAATGTCAACATGCATGGTTGACATGATTATTTTTAAATGCAACTCATTTATGTAAACATGTGAATTTAATGTTGGCAGACATTATGTCTACATGCGAGTAAATATGTTCACACTGTTTTATGTTGACATGCAAATTATAGGTTCCATGTCAACATATTTAGCTTATCAACATAACCAAGTTGCATGTCCTATGTTGCATTAGAATAAAAATTGCATGTTAAATATATAAGTAGCATGTGTAAATAAGTTGCATGTCAACAAAAATTATTTTAAAAAAAGTTGCATGTCAAATATTTATCTTGCATGTTAACATAAATAAGTTTTAGCATGTTGAAATTCAAACAGATTTTTTCAATACTTATCTGATTGCAATTTTCTGCATGTCAACATATTTATGTTGCATGTAAAACCCTCTTGCAACATATTTGATAGAAAAATAACTTGCACACAAGGGGCAGAAATATGCCACCATAGAAATGAGTAGAGTTTGGGTCATAAATGTGATAATTATTACAGTCCGAGTTTCCTCTGTCATATTTATATTTTTCCCTATTTATAATCAAATATTACAAAAATCTGACTGATAAGAACTCTAAATTATTTATACGCTCAGGTTACTTTTGTTACCCTAAATCTCATGGTATTAATATTATATGGGGTCAATGATCAAATTATTGAGATATGTTGTCTGGATTGGTTTTTGTACATATTTTTGAATTGAATTATTTCATAGCATTCATTTTTTTGAAATAATTTATGAGCTATGATATAAAATTAGCAAAAAGATATCTTTAAATACATGTAACCCTAACTTTGTGATTAATATTACAAGAAATAAAAATTTTGACAAAAATAAAAAAAATAAAAATTTAGTCCGAATTTCCTCTGCATAGCTATACATTGAGTTTTGTTCCTGTATATGTTCTTCAAGTACTAACCTAATAAATTTTTAAATTGATATTGAGATAAAACTTAGTTATTTTATCCAATTAGAACAATTTTTAATTTAACAAATTATACTTTATGAAATTTCCTTTCTGATTTTTGAAACCTGAGTAAACGTCATCCTTAAATGTACTGTCCCCCGATTTCAGATTATATACCAGACAACAACGCCTCATGACCCTGAGGGGATTTTGGGGACACTATCTTCAATCTTCCTGTGCTTTTTAGGATTACAGGTAAACTTATATCTTTATTTGTTTAAAAATTGTTTTAGAAATTAGAAAATACATAATTATTTGTCCATAAAACCCTCTAGTACACAAAGGCATACATTATATACGAAATTTTTAGATCCTGTTAAAAAAGAAATGTGCCATTATTACAGTCGTGGATGAAATTTACCGTAACTTTACCAATAAATTATTTAAAAAACACTCAATGTTAATTAGCAATTTATTTTTTAATTTATATTCAAAGCCTGTACACAGATGTATTTCTTTCAGTCTGGTCGAATCCTTCTGTATTATGTTGGTCATGCCAGTCGAGTGGTTCGGTGGCTTATTTGGGCAGTAATTACGGTATGTATTGTAATATTATCAGTATATGAAGAATAATTTCAAGTATTATAATATAAAATTGGGTACTAATGGGATTCAGATGCATTAATTGGGCGTAAAATATTACATCTATGTATCACAAAGTCTGACACATCTGTTTCTTTATTGGTAATATTTACTTCAAAAAGACGTCAATGTAAACCTAACAACACAGTTTTTGACTTCGCCATTACAGTTTCAACATCGCTTCATTATAAAGCAATATTCCCTTATTATATACATATAATGTATATACCTGGTATTTCTCAGTTAATCCGATGTGCAAGGACGTATGAACAATTTTCTTAATCGAAGTAAGTTATTAATAAATAAGTAGATGTAACACGTATATCATTTAATTTCTATAAAATACTTGATTCTGATTGGTTATAAAATTCTTTTGATAATACATAAAATCTTTGTTGCATAAGCAGCCGGAACTACTTTGGCTGTCTTTACATGTATATTTCCCGCTTCCAGGTTACTTTGTGAAGGAATAATTAAATAATTTTACTTTAATAAAAAAAAACCTGTTTGCCATGATAACACTTTCGTTTCGTTTTGAATTATCCCCCTTTGCTAAACAAATCAATTTTAACAACAATACAGTTTTAAAAACAGAAATCACTGTTAAATGTAGCAATTTATTTTTTAAAAATTTATTATTCTAAAAGCCTGGAAAACCGTTAGATGTAAATCTGTTCAATTTTGGGAAAAGAATGATCGAGAAAAACGACACTGCCTGAATAAGGACGGAATTCCTTTTTTATCTCAAACAGTCGGAAGCAGGCTCTTTCAGGCTTTACAGCATTGACAGGTTGTGATACTTCTTTATATGATCGGTTTGAAATTCAGATGAAAAGATGTGCAAATGAAATCCAAAATTTCTGTGACCTAACGTTAGAAGTGTTAATATGGGCGTAAAATATAACATCATTTACAACAAAGTATACACACCTGTTTTGTTATTATATATTTAACACAACAGATAACTTTTTTGTGTTAAAAACTATAAATTATTTCAAGAATGTTGGTAATGACACAACAATATTTGAGTAAGCCCTTTTGAATTTCAGCAAAGTTTTTGATGAATTCGTGCGCACTGTTTTGATGCGTAAATTTAATAGAAAAGTGAAAGAAAGTTTCATTTTATTAATTTAAAATCATAATTAAATGATAAGAAATAAATGTATATATACCTTTTTTCCTTTGATCGATGTAATCCGAAAAATTTGCAAGGAAATTTTATTGCGCTACGCGCAACAATTTCCTTAATTTTTCTAAGTTACATCGATAAATAAAAAATATTACATTCATTTCTTAAATCAATATGTTTTTCACACAAGATAAACATGCAAGATAAACATTTATTGTGTGTAAAACAATACAAAGCAAATATATACAAATAGGCAAAAAATCCCCCCCAAAAAAACAATATAAAATTTTGTCAGAACGAAAAAATCTATGTTTTTTATATTGCAAACAATTACAATGTACGTGGATCACCCGAAAACCAGCAATCCTCAATTTCTATGGCAATGGCGGTTACACTTGTGTCGGTCCTTATGACGTTAAATTTACACTAACGATATCATGAGTGAGAATTGAGAAATTTTGTGAACATATCTCAATATCTCCCTCCACTATACCAGAATTTATTTGGGATGAGATGATTATAGAATACAAATTAAAAACTATAAAATTTAAATGCCTTATTTCTAATGTTAAATTCAATTTGGACATTGCAAGTTGTCTGTGTTTGAAATTAAAAAATAAAGACGATGTATTCGAATACTTGACATACCATACGTATTCAGTTTCTTGCCAAGTCAATGATTGATCTATATATTTGGAGAAAAGTATTAAGGAGACACAAGTGATAAGTGTAACGCCCTAATGCAGAGATTTTTTTTTGTATTTAAAAAAGAATTTTGGTAGGCCACTTTAATTACGATATAAGATTAATAAAAAATATTTTTTTTTACATTTCATTTTCCAACAGTTTTTAATGAGATTACCACAAGTTCTGATGAAATTTAATTAATGCGTACATGTATTTGGTGATTTCAAAGGATTCTTATCGAAACTAAAAAAAATTTTTAGCTTAACAAGAAAGTTCGTTGACCATTCTCTATACATGGTTAAACCATGTATCTATTCGAAAATGTATATAGTGAGAATTTAACATTTGAAGCTTTCATAAATATTGTTGTATTGGAATAGTTTTTAAACAGGGAAAAAAATTACTTTTTTCACATTATAATAGATCTTGTAAAAATGCTGCCAGATATTGGCACCTTATACATTTTAATGAGATTTTACGTGTAAGGCAGTACAATTTTTATGAGATCATTGATTTTGGTATAGGATTGGTAATTTGCTCGCCAACGACTTATTCCTGAACACTTAAAGGTCTCAAAGAATACATCAAACCATTGGCAACTGTTAGTACAAGGTTTCAAAAAGTACATCGAGCCATAGTCAAGTGTTAGTACAAGGTCTCAAAGAGTACACGAAACCATTGGCAAGTGTAAGCATTTTCCCCCAACAAATTTCAAAACTTTAGTAGCACCTATGTCCTTTTTTTTCTTAATGAATAAATTGTCTACAACTTGGTCGGATTTTGGATGATAATATTTAAAAATTATAAATAGATGCGAGTTACATGTTTAGAAGTTCAATTCCAATAAACAAACAAAAACTGTACTTCAAGCCCAATTATTGCGATGTCTCCCTGCCGAATGCAATAGAATGAAGTCGTCCCTGCGCTAATGTAAAATTAATGAAGGACAAAATGAAATAAATGGAAAATAATTTTCAAACGCAGTACGATACTAGTAATTACTGGACTGTAAAGAAAGCTAAAAGAACATTTTTAGAGTATTGAGTAAAAACGATACAAGTGCCTAGTAATGGGTCCGTCTGTATGTATGTCCGTCCGTATCTTTTTTTGAGTACCTCTTTAATTAACAATAATATTTATAGACGAACGGCTATATGTGCAGTGAGAATATGTGCATCTTGTCGATAACGAAATCCTCGTGTACTTAGTGATATTGATTTCCTTTTTCTTTTATTTTTATGTCACGTTATTGAGCATCTCCGATATGAAATTAGGGCTTTTTCATGCTTACAGATTCACTTTACCGTTATTTCCATCCATACATTATATACATGTATACATGTATTAGAGCAACCTTTTAAGTTTCTTTACGCAAAGTACATATATCTCTATTTTCTAATATAGAATTAACATTGTGCATGACTGAAACTCAATTCTAAGGCAAGTCAGAGAAACTTTAATAATTGCACCCCAATATTTTCTTCAAACGATATTTTAAGAAATGAAACTTTATAGTTGAACAATTATTCACAAGATTTATGTCTTGCAAAAGGTCATTAAATGAAATCATGTTGATAATATAATACTTGATAAAAATAATGTGATGTCGTTTCCAGGGAGCCATTGGAGGGACGCTGTGTAAGTTCTCTATAAATGATGGCTGGATTCCCCTCAACAAGAACCTATGGTATATATATAAAAAAGAATAAAATGTAATAACAATAATATAAAAAAAAAAGAAGATAAAAGAAATTTCAATTGTGTTTTTAAATATTTTGAAAGTTTATGTTTCCTAATTTTCTTTATTGTTCAACCACTTTGTCATTACTTTATTCTTACAATTATTATAGTTACTTGTCAATCTCTGAATTTATCAATTGTTTATATTTATTTTGCGTTTTTTGTTTGTTTAAATTTAATTCTCAATTTTATGTTTCAAAAAGTTGTCTCTTAATGGAAACCTTAGCCTATATTTTCTTATAAATTTGACCTTTAATGACATTTAATTTATATACCTAACATAAATGTTGAATTTAATTATTGTGCCCTAAATATTAAGATACAGTGTACATGAATTAATTTGGCTGAAATGTTTCAGGTCGGTTTCGTTTATAATGGTGACCGCCTGTTTTGCATTCATCCTTCTCTCTCTTCTTTATCTTATCATTGATGTTGCCAAAATATGGGACGGGACTCCTTTTATTTTTCCGGGTAAGACATTAGAAATGAATTTGGACAAAAGGGGTGGGAAATCAAATCGAATTGTTTATAAGAAGATTATTTTCGTAATTTTCATTGGCTGAAAGAACGTCACGTGATATTCCTCCTTCTGTGATGTCGACGCGAAAGTGCGTCCGCGGAAAATGATATCGCACGACACAACGTTCGGTTGCACTAAAGTTACGTAGAACGTGAGGTAATAATGTAAGAAGCGTGTTTAAAACATTTTGAAAGGTAATCACAGCCGATACTGTTGTTCAGTTAGGACTGTGTCTGTGCAGTTACTTTGAGTGATTATATAATATACTTATTATGGACTTCAGTGAATGGTCAATATGTGGTTATGAGGACTCTTGGCAATTGATATTGACCTCAGACACAGAAAATGATAGCGACCTCGCAGGCTTGGTCGCTATCACTTTCTGTGTATTCGGTCGATATCAATTACCATGAGTCCTTATAACCATATATCGACCTACACTGAAGTCCATAATTGTATAATAAATTGACAATATGAATATTCTTTTAACGGAAAGATATAATAAGACCAAAGACTGTTATTAGATATTTTCAAAATAATTATTTCTGCTAAAGGTACTCTTAAATATTTTAAAGGTGCACATGCAGAAAGTTTTCATTTTAAAAACAATTCTTATGAAAGGTTTCTATTTCTATTTTGCTACAATCATTTTTTTAAATTGCATTAATTATTTTTATGCGGAAAATATATTTGAATCTAATTTAAAATTAATTACATTTTCGAGATTTTCTTGTATATAATTACAACTTTTAAAGATATAACTGTCTTTCCATTTACAGGAATGAACTCTCTGGTTGTGTACGTGTGCCATGACGTGTTTTATCGATTTTTCCCTGTCAACTGGGCGATGGAGAATCCGATGCACTGGCACTTACTTCTGAAAGCAGTGTGGGATACAGCAATATGGGTTGTTTTGGCGTATATTCTTTACAGAAAGAGGATATTTATTGCGCTGTAAACTTTCCTTATGTTATAAAAACGTTTTTATTATAAGCATAAATCAAATTTTGATACTATATTTTTGATGAATTGAACACTTGATATTAAAAAATATATTAAATGAATAACTATTTTCATGATCAGCGTCATTGCGTATACAATCATCTAGCACGAGAAACAAGATGTACATAGTGTCCATAACTTCAATAAAATAAAAGCTATGAAGATAAATAATTGCAAAATTTGATATTTTATGTTATTTTTCAAACCTCTAATATGTTGATAACGAAGACACCGTGAGCGTGGATTTTTAACAGGGTATGCCTTCTCCTCTAAGGCACTGTGTCCTATTTGAATTTTTGTTGCTTGTCTCTTATGCCCTTTCACAATTTTTTATTAAAATTGTTTTAGATTCTTTATTGATAATCATTTTTCTACAAATTTATCATCATTAAAAGAAGCACACGGCGGGTAAAACGTATCGAAAGAAGATTTCGAAATCATCCATTCATATGGATTCTAATTTTAAAGGTCAATGTTTTCTCTGCTTCCAATTCATATTTTTTCAGTGGACTGTTTAGCTTATAGTTAATAGCTGCTCGTCATAATGAGACATCACATCAGTAAAAGACTTGCAAATCAGGTGGAAAGTGAAAAAAGGAAAAATAAAAAACATGGATGGATTTTTAAAAAAAAGTGCTGTGAAGAGGGCATAAACTCAGACTCCCGGAAATACCAAAGGTGGAAAATGTAATGACCCACCAATATAAAAGAGAAAATGGAAACATATAAATCATTTTACCAGTTCCGTTATCCATGTATTACCTGGTGAGTTTAGTTCTTGTTCAGATCGAAATTCTATTATAAGGGAATTCTGAGTAGCATTATGCATTTCCGGCCTGTGAGTTGTGATTGCTCAGAAAAATATTACCCACAATGGATTGATTTTCATCATGCCTAAAGGACTGTTCCCTTGATTACTTTTTCAATAAATAAAGTGTAGCTTACACAGCAACACAATTTTTTTAGATCAAAGTGCATTCTAGTTATATTTCCAGCATTTAAAAGGATAAGTTAGAAAATCAGCAATTGATTCAACATAGTGCAAAAAGCAAATTCCTATTCAATTAGGCAAAATTATATTTTGCTTCTAAATAAATAAAAGTCTTAAGGAAGAATTCTTGTCATATTTATTGTTCTCATAAATTAATGACATTTTCACATATTAAAGAAGACAAATAATGAAGATCCCATTGAGATAACATTGGGTTGTTTTGGGGGATATGTGTAGCTCAGAAATTGCTTAACATACGGCACAACTCTGTCAAAAGCATAGTCACCGCTAGATTTCAATTTCAGTTTCCCATTTCTATTCAAAGTTGTACAATTATAGGGAGATATGTGAAATGTGATCTTTAAATTCCTCTCATCAAATATATTGTATATATATTTGTATATGCAAATATACTTTGAATATTTGATGAAGACATAAACCAGATACGAAATCCCTCGGAAGGTCCCTAACGTATTAGTAAATTTAGCCTTTAACAAGAACCCTTTTGTAATAATGTTCTAAAAGAAAACGTGAAATATTTTGGCCTTTTTTATCGAATGACACGAATGTTTCTTATAGGAGCAAATGGCGGTTGAGACCAGCAAGGAAGGTAAGCCTTTAACAAGTTTTGGAACCCTTTTGTAATTTTTATGTTTGAAAAGCTATATATTTCGTGAATCTATTAATATAAGGCCTTTTTTATCGTATCACACAACGAATGTTCTTATATGAATCTTCAGCAAATGGCTTTTTCGTATTTACTGGAGGAGTGTCCTTTGGCCAGCATGTTATCTCCCTTGTTGGAGGAATGCTTGATTCCTCCATGGCACTTGATCCCATCTCTGATGTTTTGGAGAATCGTGTTTGTTATTCTACTATCTTAATTGAACTTTTTAGGTTGACTACTGTTCGTAAACTCTATATATTACATGGTATAAATGAAGCACAACATTTTTTTAAAGATCTTTACCTAAGTTAATATAAGGGCATTGCAAAACATAACATGTACCATCAGGTGAAGAATCATATAAATTTATTATTCACACTAGTTAAATATAGTTCATGTTTATTCATGAATCTTCAGACTGATCAAGGTTGGTTCTTTTTCGTATTTACTGGAAGAATGTCCTTTGTTTGAATTACTTCCCTTGTCATCCCATGCCATTGTTATCTCCCTTGCTGGAGGAATGCTTGAGATCACCGGTAGATGGCTCTGTATTTGAAGCAGGATAACTTATACCCAGTCAGTTGTAAATCATCCAACACTTGATGTATAACGTTTGACGTCATAATAGGCACAGAAGTAAAGCATTTAGGAGAAAACCATTTATAAACTACAAATAAAACGTAAATGTTTCATCGGTGGGGTAATTTCGTTACATAATTATTTGAACATCTGTTATGAAATTTACTAACTACAACGTGTAAGTAGCATTTTTTATGTAAAGGGTGTAAAAGGGCAGTTTATTTATAGTTTGACTCAAAGCACAATTTTACATGCTGACCTGTATTTTGTTCGTAAATTTTATGGTTTTTCCAATATAACCAACAATGCATAGCAGTTGTAAAGGAATGTTACCTTTTTCTTATATTTCCAATAAAGGTAAAACATAACACCTGCCATTGCTATTGATGCTAACATTGCTCCAAGAGCAGGTAGAAGGGCGGAATCTGAAATAATTGTAATAATTATGTTTTTATTGCATGTAGTTTACGCCTGAACAAATTGAAAGTAAACAGGAAGAAGATTTTTTGAAAAATAGGTGTTAATTATCATAAAGAACAAAAAGGCGCCTTTTTTTTTAAAAACATAACAGACTTTTATAAATCATCGTTAATGATCATTCAAGAATAAGTAAAACATGAAAACAAATTAAAAAAAAAACTAGTTGACCTTATTTCTTATTAGAATTTTCAATGTCTTTTTTAGAATAAATACCTTCACTACTTTTATTGCTGTTTTCATTATTTCTGATGTTTGATGACGAAGAAGCATTCACAAATGTTCTATTTATAGAAGGTGGCGTTTGATTGGAAATCCCAGTCGGTGTTTGGGTAGAAACTCCAGTTGATGGTTGATATGAAATCCTAGATGTACCACCTGACGCCTCTGTAGAAACCTATTTGAAAAAGATAGAGTTTTCTGAAATTTAAGTATTATACAGTGTATCAGCATGCGTTTAACAAACTCATTTAACGGTAAACTTGATTTCTGGTTTAATTAAATTGCATTTGATATTTTACTTTGAAAAAGAGTGAGATCGTATTTACTGCAGAATTGGATAATAAATCAGGTGATGGTGACGAGAAAACAATAGACTCCGTCGAATATTCTGAACTGTTGATTGTTGATTCCTGATTTCTTGTATAAAATGTTGATTCTGAGCTTTTGGTTGTTGATATTCCTGTAGATTCTGAACTTTTGGTCCTTGCTTCCTTGGTCACTCTATCAGATGTGGATTCAGCAGAACTTGGTAATTCCGTTATTGACCCTAATGAACTGCCGACGAGAGTCGTCCCGCTGATTGACGTCACCACTTCTGTGGTCCTCGTTGCATTTGTCAGAGATGGATAATTGGTTGACCAGGCGCTTGTTGTGATGTCAGTAACGGAAGTCAAAAGTGAAACTGATGTCGTCTGGTTAGAGCTAATTGCCGGATTCAGTATGGTGAAGTTGTCATTACATGAGATAGTTGGTGTCGAATTCTGGCAGATCACCGTTAACAGCTCTGATGAATTAGTGGCTATTGAAATTAAAAAGATTCACAGTTAAAAGATCTTTTAAAATAAGTATCGTACCTAGAAATGCTCCGTTTTACAACTGTATATTCCATTTCTGTATAAGATGGTGCATTTTGATTATGACACCTACATTTTTGTCCTGGGCATCGAATGCACGATTTCTTTACCTAGTGGATAGATTGTTTACATTCCAAAAATCGTATATCGATCGAGGAATCATGATGTCATAAATGGAAAGAAATGGTTGAAGATTTTTAATATTGGAGATATAATCAAGGAGTGTTTTAAGTTTTGTGTGTTATTGGTGTTTAAATCACACAGACTTGTCACGTAAGCATAATTATTTCAATTTTTGAATTTCTCGCTGCCCCATACGTATCTTGTATTTTTTCTAACGTCGCTGAAGCCTAATTTGTGACGTCACGTTAGCGCGAGTTTTTTCTTGTATATTTCTACGCGTGAGTTTACACGAAAATGGAATTGAAATCAATTTCACAGTTGGATTAGCAGAAAAACACAACGAATGTAAATATATAGAATTGAAAAGAGGTACTGAAATATGAATTGATTTGTCCATCCCTGGCCTTAGACTTATAGAAGCCACAAATATTGTTAGTTTTTTTCTTGTTAGTTAATACTGCACGTTCATTTGTCCAACAATTGTATCTACAATTCATTTGTAGACCATGTCTTTACAGAAAGTAATAAACTTCACCTTTAAAAGATAGTTGCAATCAAACTGCGTCATACAGTAAGGAAAAAGCTTCAATTATCCTTCATGGTATTCGTTGATTTAAGTCAGGCATGAAAATGGAATGTATCCGTGTTAACTCAGAAATAACAGAAACAAAGCTTATATAAAATTGTCATTAAAAACCTTATAAAATAATAAAGCTAATTTTTTATTTTGTCCCTTAAAGAATAATGATATGGGTTTTTTTTGTTTTTAGTTTGATTCGTTTGTCAGAACTGAGATTGCAATGTTTTATTTCTATGTTGTTAATCATAACCATGGTTATTTGAAGGATATACATAATTATCTTTTTTTTCAAAGATATTCAGTATCGAGTTTTGACGTTGAAATATTAATTGGAACCAAATATATTGTATAACATTCGCTCGTCTTGAGTACAATAAACCAGTGCAGTGTAAAATATTAGAACTTAAAACAAAATGTCAAAGAATTGGTTCATGAGCAAACATCTCATAGTAATTTTATACCATCTTTAAAAATACACCGAGTCTATCGTTTCAGTTCCAAAGTGATTTGACTTATTTTCTTTCTTATAAAATTCTTTGATGAATTATAATTTCAAACCGAATCGGAATGGGACGTACTCCCAACAAATGACCAACTTATAACATGATATTTTCCATCCAAGGAGAATGGGATCGAAATTATTTCTTAAAATGTTGGATCATTATTTATACACCGAGTTATCGACGGACGTTTCAGTAATTCCCGTGAACATTTCTGAGTACAAGATACTTATCTTTAAAGTTTTCAAAACTTTGATAGAATTTGTTTTAATTTCAGAAATGTAATGCCAAGGTTAATTCAATATGACTGGACATCGTTAAGTTCCAATTTAAAGGGTAAAATGAAAATATATTTTGAATATTGAAAGTCGCAGTTGTGTCAACTTATGAAATACATCGAGATAACGAAGAGTGTTCAAGATTTAAAAAAGTCAATTGAACTACACATATCAGGAGCAGAGCAAACATTGAACTCTAAAACATCAAAAGCAGGACAGGATCAGGGTCCGTGGAAGAATGAACATCCTTTTCCAACCGTTCACACCTTCCGTGTACTCCTTGCTATGATCAGTTTTACAACTATACGTAAATCTTTCTTTTAAATTTCTTGTTAATTCATACTGTGAATCACCTTTATTTGTTGAGAATTGTATCTATGTACATTTGATTTGTCGTCTATTTCTTTTCAGTAAACGCATGCAAATAATTAGCTTAACCTTAAAAAGTACATGAAATTTTCTGCACGATAAGAGAATTATGGAACTTAATTAATATATTGTAATAAAACCTCCATTATGTAGCCTTAATTCACTTGCGATTTTTTCACATATTTCCTTAAAATAACAGAAAAAGTAAATGAAGATAAGCATTTTAAAACAATTTTCTTGCTTAGTAAATTTTCAATGCCAGAAAAATCACTTTTTATTAGTGCAGAAAGGTCAAATAATTGATTATGCGAAGCCATTTGAAACTTTTTCCCTAGTCATAAATTTTAAGTGCCTTTTTATAAGCAAACTTAGAATTTTAAACTATCGTTTCATTTCATAAATAATTGGATATATTTCTCTTTCTCATAAAATTGCTTGATGAAGTAAATTTTAAAAAATTTCATTTTTAATTAAGACACAAATTTCAGTGCAAAAGGAGGTCATATTAAATTTTTTAAAAGATTGACCATTATCAGGATTATTTACAAACCAAATTTTTTAATTTGAATTTTAATTAAGCTATGTATGTAGAAACTAAAAATATACTTGGCAAAAAAAGCTTAAGACTTTAAATATCAGGATTTGTATTGAAAGAATGAACTTTTGAGCTTTAAAAATGTTTGTTATCTCCATAGATTTCTTTTTTTTTTGGCCATACCAAAGCATAATTCTCAGAAAAAAAATCCCGAGTTTTCTCTGACCTTTTAAAAATAATTATTTTGTTTCTTTTTACTTCTCTGCACGAAGTCAATCTTCATGATAAGCGTGTGAAATTCTTCAATATTTACATTTCCTGATGTCTTTCCTTTTATGACAATACAAATTAAATTGACATTCAATTTTCAATGACTTGCAGTCTGTCACATGATCAGACTTAAAGCAAATAGAGCAAGACATTTGGAAAATCTAGATTGTGACGTCATGTGACGTCGTCATGTTGCATTTCAATAACAAAGTCTAAATAGTGCATTTTGTTTGTAATGTGAATAGAAATAAAAATATATATATAAGAAATAAAATATCAAATTTCAGAGTTTCATTGGGATATGACATGAAGTCGGTCACGTGGTCAAATTCTATAACGCCCGAAGAGCGTTATAGTAAATTTGATCACGTGACTGACTTCATGTCATATCCCAATGACACTGTAAAAAAATATCTTATTTCTTAAGTAACGCGTGATATTGTATATGCAAAAGGGTTAACGTAAATATAGTGTCATATCAGTTAGGATTCCCTGTTCTTACGCGTATACTAATAGTCTATTAAGCTCTCTGCAATCGCCTTAACCTTTTTAAGGAGAGGAGCCGAATTATTTCCGAAATTGGTCTACTTTGAAATACACATATAATATTTTTTTCTTAGCTGTAGTCTTCCTTCATTTAAAATTTTACTATTAGCAATAATATTTCTTACAAACTTAGGCCTCAATTTAACACGAGACTGGAATTTTTATGGATACCTTCGAGATGAATCCAGAATTTTCCCGCCGTTGAGGTATCTGTATTATCTAATCGTAGATCAATGCTGCTGGAATTACTCGTATACAGAGTCGTTCGTGCAAATTTGTTGACGTCATCACATGCAACGTCAGTAGTCATTGCACCATCTGTTATCAGCAATCTTTGTTTACAAACACCAGAATTCTCACTGAACTGCAGATCAAATCCAGTGATACGAACTCTGGAGTTCCCACTTGCAGTGACCTTGCACGATGCACCTGAAGTAGACCCACAAGGTGACATTTCTAACGGATATCCGGCGCTGGATAGGAATATTGACTGTGCTGTAAGTGAGGCATTGCTAATGGAAATGACGTCAGAATCTGAAAAACGACACAATAAAAATTATTATTTTTTATATTAAACTGTCGTTCGTCCCGTCATTTGGGGGGTATTTTTTGATAGGGTTTGCTTTCAGTTATAAGTTTTTAATTTGTGGTTATAATCAATGAAAAGTGTTATTCTTCATTATGTTTTTCTTAACAAAAAAATCCATAATTACATGTATACTAACTTAATTCGCTTGAAGATTCACTTATAATTATCTTCTAGAAGCGAAACCGGTTACGGTAGACTAGTGGAAGAGCGTCGTGATCGGCAGGTCGGAGTTCAATTCTCGTTCGACTGAAACAACAATGGTGACTGTTCCTTTGCCAAGCGCTCGGCATTAAAAGTGAAAGTCACGGACCTTTCGGATATGACCTTAAAAACGTAGGTCCCGTGTCACGTTAGGCGCTGGCACGATAAAGAACCCTCACTGGTCAATGGTCCTGAGTGCCGAGTATAGGTCTAAATTTGAAGCCCTTCATCACATACGGTGACGTCCCTATATGAGTGAAAAATAAAAAAAACAACATACAATCAATCAATCAGTCCATCAGCGAAAATAAAATGAAAGGATATAGTAACGCGCATGTGAGCATGTTTATCAGTAGATGAATTATGCACGCATGTAACCGAAGAGAAAAATCATACTACGCAGCCTAGTCAAAGACTCAACTTATAGCTGGTTCTGATCAAAGAATATCCGGCGGCGCCCGTCTGTCCGTCGTGTGTCGTGCCTTGTAATGCATTTTTTTTTTCAACGTAACCCCCAAATTTCTAAACCACCGTTGCCACTTCACAGGATTAACATTAGATGTTTGAATTTCACAAAGAAACGTTTCACTTCTGGAGGACAGCAAACCCCTCTCGAGACTTTTTCATTCAAATGCAGATATAACCAACTGCCAGTGAAGGGCTGCAAAATTTAACCTTAATTCGGCACTCAGGATTTTGAGCAGTGAGGGTTTTTTGTACCAGCGCCTATTGCGAAACGAGATCTCAGTTTAAACGGTCTCATTCGAAGGAAAAGTCACAAGATCTCGTTGCGGATTTTAACCCGCGATGTACTGTAAGGCAGGGCTCGAGCTGTGATTCGCCATTGTCGCCAATTGCGAATTTTTTTCAAAAGTGGCGAAAAGAAATTCATAAGTGGCGAAAATTATTTTTTTAGATGTACCATGTACAAAATTTATGTAGTCCCGTTTAGCTCCTTTGTTTATTCAATGTACACAGATAAGTCCCTTTGTTTACTTAATTAATCAGTGGCGGATCCAGAAGTTCATGTGGGGGGGTTTTGAGAGCCCAAAGGGCCGAAGGGGGAGGGCATGGGAGGGGGTGTTTTAAAAGGTTCTAAATGGTGCATTTTCCAGTATTTTAGGGGTACTTTTTGTAGCTTTTTAAAAGACCGACCATCACAAATTTTTAATAAAATGTTTTCAATTTAATTTAACTTTAACACAAGACTTTAGACTTTGCTTTAAAAAAATTTATGCAGTTGACTTCAAGTTGTGTTAGTTTACTTTAAATGCACCTACAATTAATTTAGTTCTATGTCAAGCTGACTTCCAAGATACAACTAATGTGCAAATTTTTAAACACTAAAAAAATTAAAAATTGAATTATTTTCAGAATTCCTAACTTGTGCTTTTCAACTTACTTGAGTATATACTGTCAATATGATTTGGAATATAAACACACGTGTACAATTAATGAAATTTCAAACTGTCTTAACTGAAGAAAAAAATTTACATAAACTGGAGAATCTGTCAAAACTAGAGGGGTTTAGCCAACCTGGTTTTGTAAAAAAAATTACATTAATTTAATTTTTAAAACGGTAAAAAAATCTTGAATAATAGTTTATTCATAGTTTAAAATATGCATTTTATCAGCAAAGAATATTACTGAGTAGCACCGTAACTATGCAGTTTTCTGTTGTTGGTACCTAACTACATTGTGACTTCACTAGATGCACAGACTACCCGATGTCTGAGGCACTCTCTCTGTTGATTACCTGTGTATTGTGTGCGTTCAAGCGGAAAGAGATTTCCTGTTACGTAGTGGATGTATATTTCACAGTTGTACAAACAAAGGGTTTATGTTTATTAGAGTCTTATCAATGCAACAAAATGACAAAATGACACTTGTAAAAAAAAAAAATCAATGAGCGGGGGTTTTTCCCGATGAATCCGCCCTTGTTAATGCAGCAGAGGTGTGAAAACTGAAACCTACATGTAGGAAATCACGTCTCGCTTGAACGAACAATGCTGACTAGGTAACTAGCCTGGGGCAATAAAGGGATACAAAATTGCTTGAAATGATATAATTTGGATTAAACAAGGGGGGATAAAGTGTTAATGGGAGAAGAAGTTAATAAATAAAAGATTTTTATCAACAAAATCTGGATCTATGTACATGATGTAGGTCGTTTTTTTTAAACCGAAAGTAGGGAAACATGATGAAAATTGTAAAGAATGGCTTCAAATTTTACCTACTGAAAATTGAAAAATGTGTACATTATTATACCGTTAACTGACAAAGAATTAAACAGAAATTGGTTTGGAAACAGAATTAACTTTAGTTAGTAAATTACACTGAATTATTTACAATGACATGAGCTTGCATATTAAACCCTGGAGTCTCCAAGTTGTTAAAATAAAGTCAAGTTTCAAACCTAATTTTCATTTCTTTTTAATTTACTTCTCTTCACAATTTAATTAATGAAATAATGAAAATTTCTATTTTTAAAAAATGTCATATTTTACTAGGTCTGGAGCCCCCCCCCCCTTCCCAGGTGAAAAAAAATGTAAACAAGAGGACATTTTCTGTCAAGAGTTGGCTGATATCAATACAATATCAAATTAATTGTGTACTTCCAACATTATTATTTTTTTTCTTTTTTTAAATGGATACTACCATAAGCTTTAAACATTACAATTTTGAAACAATGTCTGTGTCAGATAAACATAATAAAAAAAATTGAATAAAAAAAAAAGTGCATTGCATTGTCGAGAAATCAGATGTACGTACTATGCCTTTCCTTAAAGATTGTGTCGCGAAAAGTGGCGAAAAATATTTTCGGTCCAGTGGGAGCCCTGCTGTAAGGTTCAGCTCCTTACTCTGCAACTCTAAAACAAACACTTTAAACAAGTGATGCACCACTCAGGTGCCTAATAAGACTTATTTGACTGTGATAGAATTTTTGATAGGTTTCAAAATTTCTAACCTGGGAGGCAGTTGTACCACATTTTCATGTAATTAGACCTCTCCATGAATATACTGCTGTCACAGACGTCTGTTGTATAGTTCCAGGAGACTTGAACTCCCTGTCCACAGCTCTGACGACCTGAACACCTAGAGTAATGTTCATATTCATGAGGCGCAGCGGTCCCATAATACCTCTTTCCACAATCCTCTGTTTCGTTGACGTAATTGCAACAATATGTTATGTTCCGGTTTGAAGAGTGAGAAGTAACAGGACAGTTCCGGTCCTTTCTTTTAGAATATGTGTAGACGTCATACACATATATCTTTTGTCCTAGTGGACAAGAGGGGTTCAAGTTGTCTTCAAACCCATTACCATAACAGGCCTGGAGTGTGTAGGTTGATAAACATTGTGTCCCTACATAGAGAGAAAAGAAAAATCTTTTTTTCAGATATTTGGAAAATGGTTATTGTCCTTCTCAAGTCCAATTGTTAATTAAACCTTTTTTCAAACATTGAACACAATGAAATATCTCTTAAATAGTTTTGTATTACAAAATTGTTGAATTCCTTATAACGAAATAAAAATTAAGTTATAATGAACTTACTATCCATATTTCAAAATGATTGATGACTTCTTTTTATATATAATTAGCCTTGTTAGAAAAACTTTTCAATAGTTTTAAGAATTCAATTTTTTAAAAAAAAATTCTCGATATAAAAAATTAGTATCAATGTTTAAACTAATCAAAAAGTTATAAATTTAAGTTTATTGAATCGTTGATATTGTTTAAGGGCATTAAAGAAAAGCGTTTAAATAGAGATGCTTTGAAATGATAACAATTTAATAAATTTGACAATTCCCTGTATTAAATTCAAAAATGTTTTTAACAGGTCTAAAATCGCCTTCTAAAATTATTATATTTATAGCATCACAACCAGATATAAGCTTAATAAAACCAAACAATAAGGTTTATATCCTCAAATCTTATTTTGAAATTTTTAAAGGAACCAAAAACAAAATGTTAGTATCTATATAAGATTAATATTTTTAGGACAATTTATTTTCTAACTTTTCATAATTAATATTACTTTTTATTTATATTATTTTTTGAGAAAGAGAGAGGGGGAGTGCGAATATTGTTAAAAGATAACAGATATAAAATGAAATGAAAACTCACCTTGGAAAGTCAAAATGTAAAGAGTTAGAACTATACAGCACCAATTTAAAACTTTTTCCATTTAAAATCCAAATCCAAAGAGGATAAATTAGAATAATAAAAATACTTAAAACTAAAACAAAAGTTAACATGTGAAAATATCATGAATGAATAAGATTTACATATACATATCTTTAACAAGTGTTTTACTTTTTTTTTTTAGCAAGTAAGATTGGCCTATTTTAATTTGTTCATGTATTTAAAAGCCATCAGGTGTGTCCCCATTCACTACTGGTTATAGATAGTACGATAAGTAATATAATACAAGTTCTACACACTTTGATTCTTTTCAATAATTATTACGAAGTAGTGATTGAATACACACCATGGTTAAAACAACAAATGACCGAGGTTTAAAAAACGAAATAAAAACTATTGTGTTGATTACTTCTATTATTTAAAATATTGGTTAGGGGACAATCATAACAAAGAACAGATCAAAATTTCAAACACCTTCAACCTGTCTATCTTGACTCTTTTATCTACTGAAATCATTAATTAACATAAATGTAGTTATACACCTTGTTATAGACAGGTGTTGGATAAATGATGATTAAAACTTTGTTAAAAATTAAAAAGTACCATCCCTATATGCTCTCATGTGTAAAGTTAAAGCGCAAACGTGAACTGTTAACTTTATACTTCATATACCCTATTTGGACTTTCTATAATCTAACTGGTTGCCCTTTATGACATTTTTTGAACTGTGACTGTGTCAACATAATAACGCTAAAGTGTAATTCGGGAGTAGCTTCGTCACGTTTCTTACATAAAAAGTATCAGGTAAAATTCATCAGATCAAAGCGTGACTTTTGGTGAAAAAAAACGTGATTTTGAAAAATTGAATCTTCCAAATTAAAACAAAATAAGTTAAGTGGGAGTTTGGTATAAATAAGCTGATAATCAAATTTATAAGACCTTTGAGAGAGAGAGAGAGAGAGAGAGAGAGAGAGAGAGAGAGAGATCTTTCTGGAAACCCATAAACAATGTATATTTACAGCAACAGAAAATCGACAATAGTCAAGTTTGTTCAAGAAAAGTTCACTTGAGCCCTTGGCTCACTGGTGAGCTAAGATTGCTGATTTTTAGAATATGGGGGTGTTTGTAAATAAGAAAAAATCAACAACCAGGTGTACCATTCAAATTATATGCACATGGTTTCTTTATTTATGAAACATATAAACATAACTAGTTTCTTATTTTTAGATATTTTGTAAACTCTCCTCAGAATCCAAATCAGATATACATCCCTAGCGAGAATCAAAATGAAGAGTTCAAGCTGGAACTTTAATTTTTTCTTTATTTACTTAATTTGCATGTTGTTTTGTCATATTTACAGAGAGTATCAATTAATAATTAATTTCTTTCCGTAACAAAAATCAATTATCTTACATTTAAATCACAAATAAATAAAATAGTTATATAAAAAAGAAATTAAGAACTACAATAGTAGATTTTAATGTATAAATTTCATTAATTTATTTAGGTAAAGTTGGCTAAAATATTATTGAAAGTCTTTTTAATAATAATATGTTATAGGGATGGAAGAGATGGAAATATGTTGCTGATATTCAAAACGTTTTCCATCTTTAAAAAAAAGTTATACTCTTTATTTTGTAGACAACAAAATATTATTATAAAAAAATGAAATAAGATATCATATTATTAGAATTCAGTTTAAGTAATATTGTGTAGATAACAAATAGATTTCGAGTTCAAAAGACCATTAAACATAATATATATATAGGAGCAGAGTAAACACATGACATGAGAGGTGGGATCAGGTGCCATGGAAGAGTAAACATTTCCTGTCGATCGTTCACATCTGCCATGTGCTCCTTTTCATATTCGGGAAAAACGTATAAATATAGAGACAACTCAGTGTGTAATTTTAAAATGGCGTAAAAATCAATATGTAAAATGTCAGATAGCATTTGACTTAATGATAGATTGTATTTGCTGGCAAGGTCATCGACCAAAGAATTTACTAATTGATGCCTTTAAACCAAACTGGTGATATTTTTGTATATTCTTATATGAAAGTTTTCATAATACATACGTATATAGTATGCACGTTACAGATTCAATGCTAACATATCAGGTTTGAATAAGGCATTATATAGAATGGATATAGAAAAGCCGTTTACTAATGATAAGCCATAATGTCTGAGGGGTTGAGGACACATTGCAGAATTGTCAGTTTATGAAACTTTAAGATATGATCCGAAAGTAATGCTACAAAGATAATCTTCAATAATCAAAAAAACATTCTCAACTTTATATGCTGATACATAAATATTTTGATCTTTAATTAAAAATTTCATTCATATACGTACAAAACCTTATAACATGAAAATAAAAAGTCTTTTCTATCGCTGTGCGACAGGAATATTTCGATTTATTACATTTTCAACAGTGAATTACTGTAATTTATCCATTGAATAAAAATGATATCCTGTCACAGTGTGAAAGGATATCAAAATGATATCCTGTCAAAGTGTGACAAATATCAGAAGTGCGGTAAAACTCTCGATTTACCTTCCCATAACGAAGAGTGTTGTAAAAATATTCCTTAGACTGTTATAATATATAAAGAGAGTAACTAAAGCATTCTGACAGAGAATAAGACTGCCAAAGTTCCCCCAAATGCGTTGCTAAAATTTATGTTTACAATGCTTTTAATCTCGTATCACTTAGCTATGACGTCTCAACCGCTCAACTATGATGTCATGTAGACTTGCTATTACTGTATATACAAAAAGAAAAATAGGCAAAGGGAAAATCAAAGAAAATGTAATGAACAGAAAATTCAATGTTTTGTAGTTGAATTTGGAATTTATTTCACTCGTGATACAGGATTTTTTGATATTTTTACTCGTACTTCGCACTCGTGGAAATATTTTTACAAAAATCCTGTCCCACTCGTAAAAAAATTACATATTTAACTATAAAACATTGAATATCCTCTATGTCGTTATGACAATTTTCTTTGGCACTCATTTTGAGTCTGGCGATATGCAAGATTTATGACACAAAAGTAATGAATTAGAAATTTAATTCGGATAAAGTTCAAATGATTTTACTTCTACAAAAACAAGACTTATGGCAAAACAGCAGTTTTGATCATTGAAAAGAAGTTTATTAGAGGTAAATAAAAAGAAAAGATTAATTAAGGGAAGATTGCATGTAGTGGCGAAAATCCAGATCACAACGACGTCGATAATATTCGTGCCCTGCTGCAATAGGCAAAGCTTGAAGTTTCTTTAATTTTTTAATTAATATATTTCAATTTTTTGGAATTCATTCAAATGATTGGTCAACGACGTATCGTCAATAAACAATGGTAATTTCCATTCCTACGTCGATACGATATATTCAGGAAAGCTTGCATTGAGATAAAAGATACCACAGCGTCTGACAGATCCGTGTATTACTTGGATATTTTACTTGAAAAAGACGTTAATGGTAACCTAACAACCAATCTATATTATAAACGTGACAACTTTAACTTTTCTATATTCAACTTCCCTTACTTATGCAGCAATACACCTTCATCACCTGCATACGGAGTGTATATATCTCAGTTGATTCGATACGCAAGAGCATGCTCTACGTATGAACAATTTCTAAAACGAGGTAAATTATTGACAAGCAAGTTGATGAAACAAGAATATCAGCTCAAATGCTGACTGACGTTTTTCATACTAATTGTTAGTCCATTATTTATACACTGAATTGACATCGGATTTTTCCGTTATTTCACGATCATGACAAGGAGCACACGGCGGGTGTGACCGCTTAGCAGGGGATGCTCACTCCTCCATGGCACCTGATCCCACCTCTATGTTTCGGAGGTCGGTGTTTGCCCTGCTCCTATTTGTATTGTTTTATGGACTTTGAGATTGAATACTGTTTGTTATCTCTATATCCTTCTTTAATGATTTTTTCGTTACGTTAGAGAATTTTTCACTTGTATACTACATGTAGTGAAAGGCTAAACTTTCACTTCAAAATACCGAGCGCATGGCAAAGGAACAGGTTGCTACCTATTTTCGAACTCACGAGTTTCCAAACAAGAAGCAAGCGCTCTACCGACTGGGCTACCAGGGCGTAACCAACGTATACATGTATGAAGATTAATTTATTATTAATGTGAGTTATTAATCTTAGAAATGTCTAGAAGTGTTCATTAACTCAATATTTCACTGTTACAAAGAAAACGACTTCTTGTCAGTCCCACTGAGATAAAAATGATCATTAATTCAATATATTTTAATTTTATTCCTTTGACGGTAGAACTAATTACAAAAATTTCCATTTCTTACAAGCTCTCGTGTTTTAATTTCTCCCTTTATAACCGCTTTGGGTACGTATGAAGATATGTTGTAGAATTTCCTTAATAAAATGTAGTCTTATAATACATCATGAAAATGAGAACTTTTAATTGAAACTGGCTGAATATTGCATTTTCTTACATAAAGGTACATGTATATTGTTATGTTTTAATATCAATTTCAAGCAGTTTTCTTACTGAGTTGCCCCTTGAAAGGGATCAGATGTTCCAGCCATTGCATGAAATTGGTAAAAAGCTTATAGAGTCTGATTTGAATAAAAATTATATAAAACGAGTCTAGACCATATTGATTTACAGTTTTATTTTCTAAAATGAAAAATAAAGTACTTCCATGAGAAAAGTTTGCATTCGTATTGCTTTTTTGTTGAATAAATTAAATGATCTTTTTTCGTTTGAAACTGATATCATTTTTATTATTCACGTAAAAATCTACATCTTTTAAAGTAACATTTGATAGGTTTTATGCATAGCTAAAATCCTTTGAAATTAACTTGATAGTCTATAAAATACGTTACAATTTACTGAATATTCCTATTAAAGTACTGTTCAGAACTTGGCTTTTTCACCAAATCTTTTTCGTTGGTTGTAAATCTTACTATTTAAACATGTTAAATATTAAGGTGTTTTTTTGTAACAGAGATTGGTTTTCATGGTAATAAATCTTACTTATAATACAGCTAAACATTGAAAGC